CTACTATCCCTAATGTTTTAATATGGGTTTATGTCATCCATCATACTGGGGGCTTTATCCTCCAAGTTTCATAATTAGCAATTATCTCCATTCTTTTATCTCTGTCTTTATCATCCTTTATATTGTCATATTCTGTCTGGTAAATACTGAGGCAAAATAATTTGAAAATGTAAAATCCTGTTGTGTGATTCTATCGATGGGCCACTGAAAGTGCATTTTAAATGTTAAAATTTCCACAGAATCTATTAACAAACTATTCAAATTTCTTCCCCTTCACTGTCACTAGCTGTGTGTACCACCTGGCCGTATTCCTATCCTGGTTCATGTACCGTTCTTTCTGAGTTTGTGGAATACTACACTGTTTATTTTTACATTCCTTGATAGTTTAATTTCATCGTTTCACTTTGCATTTCTGATTGTTGATTTGACATTTCACATCGTGTCATCCTTTCTCTTGTTGCCTGTGTTTACAAGTGTTTAAATCTCTATTTAAGTTCAATTTTACCCCTATTTCTTTATTAATTCATGGTATTTCACTGTTGATTAGCTTAGCATTGATTGGTTATATTTCTGCAAAACTTTAACCGAATAAAGTAGCTGCACTACTCTTCTTTTTGTTATTCTTTTTTAGTTTATCTTTCCAAGTTTCATTCTCTTCCCTCCACAATTACCTTTGGCTATTGGTTTTATCTTGTATTACTTCAACCTTTCTCAATCATTGAACCTTAATGTGTTGAGGTTGCTATTGCATGAGGCTCCCCTGTGTATCCTTCCCAGAATGGCTTTGCCTCATTTCACATTCTTAGACCCACATATGCAAGTCTATACACATTGTAAGGAATCCCAACTGTAAACAAAAAATGCTGGAGATCACAGCAAGTCAGGCAGCATCCATAGAGAGAAATCAAGCTAATGTTTCAAGTTCTGATGAAGAGTCATTGAGACTTGAAATATTAGCTCGCTTTCTCTCCATGGATGCTGCCTGACCCGCTGTGATCTCCCGCATTTTTTGATTTCAGTTCAGATTCCAGCATCTGCGGTAATTTGGTCCTGTAATGAATCCCCTTGGCTTTGTTAAATTTACACCAGCCAGATTATGGAACAAAGGAGCTAACTCATGGACTGAAAGATGAGAAAAACTAGTAGACATAATGGAGAAAGATGAGAAACAGAAACAACAGAAGCACATTCCCAAATTGGCTGTGATTGAATCCACGTATGGAAATCCAACCATCATGAAGAGTTAGAAAGGCAAGTGTTACCTCCTTACCAATCCAAGCTTACAAAGTTGAAAGGATTCATTTTGTTAAAGAATTTCACAATGCCTGACCACAAGTTGCTGCATTATCTGACTAACAACATAGCCGGCCATTACACACCCCCTATTGTTAGTCACTAACAATCCCCATTAACAACTATTCACCCTCCCAGCCTGATTGTTAGCAAATCCTTTGTCTGTCCAACTGTCTTTCTCTCTCTTCGGGCTCTATCCTATCGTTTACTCCCTACCCCACCCACCTACCTATTTTCTGCATATAAACTGACGGTTTCCCAGCAACCATCAGTTCTGAGGAAGAGTCACTGGACCCGAAATGTTAACTCTGTTTTTTCCTTCACGGATGCTGCCAGATCTGCTGGGCTTTTCCAGCAACTTTGTTTTTGTTCCTGATTTAGAGCAGTTCTTTCGGTTTTTAAATGAACAGGATTAACAGTCCAGCAATAATAACAATAGGCCATCAGCTCTCCCAACCACTACCTCCTCCCAGTTAATGTTACCTAAAGAATTAAATGAGGTTATTTGTGCCTACGTGTTTTTACTAAAACTAGCAAATACTTGAAAAGTACTTCATTGGTTGTTAATCACTTGTGACGTCCAGTGGTTGTGAGGGGCAGTATTATAAATGAAAATCTTCCTTTTCTTTATCAGTAGAAAGTATTCATCATTGGGAAAACTTTTACCATCTGTACTGGATCCCAACAATCTGTTGCAAAGAGATGAATCCTTCCCTCCTGCATTTGATCATGTGCTGCATTGGGTGGATACAGCAAGTGAACTGACCCCTACCCAAAGATAGGGCTTTCTATTTACTGCAGCAAATCAGAAGCTTGCACTTACTCTGTCACCTGGATCTCCTTTCAGACCAGGAAGGCCTTGGTTGCCCTGGAATTGAACAATAAAACACACACTATTATATTATTTACAGTGAATGATCAGTAAGTATAACTAAAATGGAAGCTCTCAAGGGGGAACAGCTGATGTCAAGTGGCAGCTTATTTCATACTGTCCAGTCCCTAGATTGTAACTGCTGACTTGTGCATTGGTCAATACGTCTGCAAAAGGACAACCCTCAGACACCCCATGGATATTGTGCTGGAAGCCGATTGAGGACTTTGTGCTCCTGTCCAAGAGTAAGGCCTGAACTCTGAACGTCCTGACTCCAAGGTGAGAGTGCTCCCAACTGAGACATAGCTAGGAACATCCCTTCTATACAGTGATAAGTGGAAGATTACAGCAACCGCTCAGAATGAGTTGAATGCCCTGCGCAATCACCTGCAGCATGGATTGAAGCCCCGATACCTGATTGATTCCGAGTCCGAATCGCTACCAGCTGACTTGACATTGATAATAGACACTTAGCTCACCCCTTCATAGAATCCCCACAGTGTGGAAGCAGGCGATTCAAGCCCATCGAGCCCACACCCAAACCTCTGAAGAAATATCCCACCTGGATCCAACCCCCTATCCCTGTAACCCTGTATTTCCTATGGCTAATCCACCTAACTTACACATTCCTGGACACTATCAGCAATTTAGCATGGCCAATCCAGCTAACCTGCACATCTTTGGACTGTGGGAGGAAACCAGAGCACCTGGAGGAAGCCCACACGGAAACGGGGAGAATGTGCAAACTCCACACAGACAGTCGCCCGAGGCAGGATCCAACCCAGGTCCCTGGAGCCATGTGGCAGCAGTGCTAACCACTGAGCACTGTATAGAAATGGGACATTGCCCAATTCTCTCAATTGGACAGCCTGCGTCGAGAAATAGTTTGGAACTGACTTTAGATGTTCTAATCAACTTCCTGGTTTTATAGCGAGATGGTTAAATGCATAACATCAGATCTCCAGTCACTGGATTATTGCAGGGTTACTTGAAGCTTTCCAAAGTTACATTTGCAGGCAGTAATTACCTGGTATGGGACTGGTAAGAAATGGGAGACAGCATTCTTCCAGCCACCTGGAACAGGTGCAGGCATGATGGGACAAGTGGTCTTCTTCTACACTGTAACTATTCTGTGATTCTTCCACCCAGCACCAATGATCACACCCATCTGCAACCTCCAGTGACCCCCCCACCCCCAACAAGTCTTCTCAACTGACCTTTGGATGTCCCTGAGCAAAGGCTAAGTTGGTGGTAGGGACTGCACCAGAGGGGAGCCAGAGGTGTTTACAGCACACAGGTGTCCATTTGGCCTATTGTGTCCCTGTCAGTGATTCATTAATTGAGCAATCCAAACTAATTTGGCCTGTCAATCAGATGGGTTTTGGGTTGACAGCCCAGGCTGACCTCCACACTGTTCCTCATAGGAGGGGAGTGCAAGGGAAAGCTGCTCATTGTGGGACCAAGCCAGGGTGTAACAAATTATTAGCTGAACGGAGAATCTTCAATGAACCATCACTGGGTAAACTTGAAACCATGAATTAATGGGAACTTACTCTGCAATGGCAATGAGATAGGAGTATTGTTGCTACGAGAGTCAATGTAGTGAATGAGCAATGTATTGGGAGATGACTCACTTTTGGTCCAGAAGCTCCAGGGGGTCCAGGAAGCCCTATATAGACAATCAACAACAAAACACTGAGATTTTAACCATTAACTTACAAATAGAAAGTAAACAACTATTGGAGAATAATTGTAGTTCCTTCCTCATTTACTCATTACTCAGTTAGGACTAAATTTGCTTTTTTTGATTAATCATGGTTAATCCTTTGGTTATTCCTAACTTTCACATTTACATTCAGCTCAGTGGCTACTTTATCCATGAATATTGTCTTGATGGAAGTTTGCAGTTAGCGACTATTCCACACAGTGTCTAATGAAACTGCAGCTCTTTCAGGAAATGCAGTCCATATCTGGTCAGTAACAGGCCTGAACAGAGGCCACCCACTTGTAATTATTTACAAACCTTTCAAAGGTTTAGCTTCAGTCATACATACATTGAGACCCACCCATGAACCAACTTCTTGTTCATGGTCAACTAGAAGACAGCTTGGTGCTGAGTGAGGTTGGGATTGATATAATTTACATGTTGACAGTGCACCATGGAACTGTAAGGTTAATGTGTACCAGAGGGAGCAAAACTGAATGCCCAGGGTTAGTCTCAAATCTGCTGTTAGCTCTCCAGCAGGCACTAGCATTGACATAGCAACTCTTGAAAGCATTTTGGAGTTTGGAAAATTTGGAAGATATGGCTGCTTTAGAGTCACGGCTAAAAATTCCATTCAGGTATTAAGAGGTAAAGTATCAAAAATGGATATTCCAGCCCTTCCCAAGCAGAACAAGAATAATAAGAGTCTTCCAGAACTCATTATTTGACAAGAGGAAGTTTTATACATTCATGGAATTTGGGCATTGCTGGCCAGGCCAGCATTTATTGCCTGTACCTACTTTCCTTTGAGAAGATGGGAGCGAGCTGCCTTCTTGAACCGCTTCAGTCTACATTCCCTAAGTAAACCAACAAAGCTCTTAGGGAGGGAACTCCAGGATTCTGACGTGGTGATACTGAAGGAACAGTGATATATTTCCAATTTATAGTCTGGGCATAGTCTGAGAATTAGGGCCATATCATTCGGGAAAGATGTTAGGAAGCATTTCCCATCACAAAGAGTGGTACATATTTGGCGTTCTCATCTTGTCCACAGCAGTGGATGCTGGATCAGTCATCAATTTCAAATCTGCACTGGCAACATGTAAATTATATCAGTCCCAACCTCAGTATGCACCAAGCTGTCTTCTAGTTGACCATGAACAAGTGTTTGGTTACTGGCTGGCTCTCAATGTACGTATGACTGAAGCTAACCCCTTTGTTAAGCAAAGATTTAAAGGATATGAAGTTAGGCCACAGATCAGCCATGATCTCATTGAATGGTGGAACAGGCTCAAGGGGCTGAATGGCCTGCTCCTGTTCCAATGTTCCTAAGTCAGGATGTGAATGTCCTGGAGGGGAACTTGCAGGTGGTGGTGTTCCCATGTATCTGCTTCTCTTGTCCTTCTAGATGAAAGTGGTTGTGAGTTTGGAAGCTGCTATCTAAGCAGCCTTGATGAATTTCTACAGTGCATCTTGTAGATAGTTCACACTGGAGTGTTGGAGTACTGACTAGCATTGGAGGGAGTGGATGTTTGTGGATGTGGTGCCAATCAAGTGAGCTGCTTTGGCCAGAAGCTGTCAAGCATCTTGAGTGTTGCCAGCCAGGCAAGTGGGGAATATTCTATCACACTCCAGACTTGTGCCTTGAAAATGGTAGAAAGGGTTTGGGGAGTCAGGAGGTGGGTTATTCGCCACAGTATTCCTAGCCTCTGACCTGCTGTTGTAGCCACAGTATTTATATGGTGAGTTTTGTCGAGTTTCTGCTCAACAGTGACCCTCAGCACATTGATGGGGGGAGATATAGTGATGGTACACCATTGAATATCAAGCAGCAGTGATTAGATTGTCTCTTATTGGAGATGGTATTGCGTAACATTTGTGTGGTGCGAATGTTACTTGCCCTTTGTTAGCCCAAGCCTGGATATTATCAGAGCAGGGGAGGAATTAAAGTCTCTTCCCACTAACAAAGACGTACAGTGCTCATACTCAATGTTTGACAACATAAAGAATGAATGGACCATTTCCATTCATGTAACACCTTTCCCAAATCAAGATAGCCCAAGCATTTTGCAGCAAGGAAATATGTTTGAAGTGAAATCTCTATTATTGTGTTGAATGCAGCTCTTGTTTCTGACCACTCAACATCATCTCCTCCGATCAAGCTAGGAATAGAAATGGGCCATTCAATCCCTCATTCCCGTTCTTTCGTTCAATTCAACAATGGCTATCCTGTTTTGCTGTTCCATTCATCCACTTTACTTCCATCTCCCTCAAACACACTGATCAGGAGGCCATTTATCTTCTTGTGCTAGTTCTATCATCTAAACAGTTTAGGTGACCTAAACCTTTATAACAAAAATTTATTGATAGCTGGTTTAAAATTCACAACTGACCAAACATCAAATGATGCTTTCAGGAGAAGTCTCCAAATGTTCCCCACCCTTTGAAGAAGAGCAGGGAAGTTACTTGTTGTGTCTCGAATAATATTTATCCCTCACCCAACACCACATCTGCTCATTATCACATTGCTGTTTCTTGCTGGGTGATCATTAGCTGATGTTGTTCCTGTTGTAAAGCAATGACAACGCTTCAAGAGTTGCAATATTGGCTGTGAAAGAATGCTTCAATGTCCTAAAAATAGGAAAAGTTGCCACATAAATGCAAGTAATTCCTTCTTTTTATTCATGGCTCCTCAGTTTGTTATATAAATTTGTTCTTGAACTTAATTCCCTGGTTATTCTTCAATCCCACTTTCTACACGTTCCCATCTCTACTCTCACCATCTCTCGGCACCATATATTGTCTCTACTTGGGAAATCACGTGGTTACTGCTCTGAGATTCTAACAGAGACATGTTGAAGCTTGTTGCTATGTTGGGCCTTGAATGACTCCTCTCCAATCTACCCTGTTTTTGTGTGGACAACCTGGATTAATGAAAGCTTGAGTCTTCTGATGATGATATGTCTGAGGCTAGGCACACAAGGTGTGAGGATATGAACCCAGAATGGCTCCTCCCTTTGATTTCACCACCCCTGGAGTATTAAAATCACTTGTTTTCTATAAGCCACTGCATTCCCACTGTGGGTGATCAACCTGAGCTGTCTGAGCAACACATTCATCAACCGGCCAGCTGCTTAACAAAACAAAAACCTCCTTGGGATATTCATAAAGGTAAGAGTGAACATTACCTGGTATTCCAGGTGGGCCTGGTTTCCCTGGGGAACCAGGGAGGCCTCTGAGGAAAGTTTCAGTCTTGGTGGCAGAAATTGGCATTTCGGCTGGAAAAGGGAAGAAAAGACAATTAAATTGAGTAACCGGGTGAAACATCACTATTTTGACACTGTAATCATTACATTCTCATCGTCTTTTCTCCCTTACCTTGCCGTCCACTCAGTGTCGCTATGTAGGTTAACTGGCCTGTTTGATACCCACCAAAACCTGGGCTAATGGCCAGCACCACCACCCAGAATCCTGCCATATCTCATCGCTAACTGTGGCACCCCAACTCCCTACTGGAGGCCCCCACATGCACTAGGAGAACCTCATCCCCTCAGGAGACCTCACACCCCTTCCAGCATATCCCTTCCAGGAGATCCCACACCTCTTCCAGAAGACCCCCACTCCCCTCCAGGAGATCTCCCTCTGCACTATGGGACTCTGATATGACCCCACTCCCCTGTACATCCCCTCACCCAGATCTTGCACAGAGATAGAAACATTAGTTGGCATAGGAACCAGATGTTGGTATCAGCAGCAAGCCCATTGCCTGATTCTACATCCTTTCCTAGTCACCTGCCCCATTTGTGAGCCACACCAGAACACCTTCATCCCAAATCTGATCCTGTTTTATGCAGTTCCTCAGACTTGAGCTCAAAGCTGTAGCAGAGAAGCAATGCAGAGATCATCCCCTGACCCACATCCCTTCAACTCCTCTCAGCCTTTAACAAGAGCAGAATTATGGAATTTAGCCTTAAAACCTGTGCAGTAAGAATGGTAGGAAAAACACTGAGACACATAAGCTAACTTTACACAGACTGCCTCTTGTTCCTCTAAACACACAATCCTATCTCAAACACGCCAACCTGTGTACCGATAAACGCGCCGACCTGTGTACCCATAAACACACCGATCTGCATACCCCTAACCACATTGACCCGCATAACCCTAAGCAGACCGTAAAAAAATGAACTAGAATATGAGATCAGAAACAAAAACAGAAATTGCTGGAGAAACTCAGCTCACAATGTGGTCTCCTCTACATTGGGGAGACGAAGTGCAGTCTGGGTGATCACTTTGCACAACCCTTATGTTCTGTCCATTAAAATGATCCTGAGCTTCCAGTTGCCTGCCGCTTCAACACATCACCCTGTTCACTGGTGAACATCTCTGTTTAAGGCTTGCTGTAGTGCTCCAGCGAACGTCCGTGCAAGCTGGAAGGACGGCAACTCATTTTCCACTTAGGGATTCTGCAGCGTTCTGGAATCTTTCAGTTCAATAATTTTAGAGCCTGAACACCTTCATCTTTGTCCTTTACCCAGTCCCACAGCCTAGGTGCTGTCATGATGCTGTTTTCAGTGCAGCCAACACATTTTTATTCATTCATTGTCCCCATTATCAGTTTTTCTTCTCACCTGGCTCTCTAGCAACCAACTCTTTGTCTGCCTCATTGTCTTTCTCCTTGCGCTCCGTCTCCATTTATCTGCTCGTTCCTTCTTCCACACTCCCCCTCCCCGCTCCTCCCCACAGCCGCCGGAGCCCCTGTCACCAGCATAAATACCAACTTTTCCTGTTCAGTTTCTTTCTCTCCACAGACGCTGCCAGACCTGCTGAGTTTCTCTGGCAATTTCTGTTGCTGTGTACACTGCTCCGTGTATCTCCCAACACACCATTCCTCATACATCTAGGCGCATGGACCACATGCTACCAAACACATCTTCCTATGTCCCTCTACTTTAGATTGTGTGCAGCTCTAAACACACACATCTGTATACATCCAAACACAATATTCTCCATATCTCTAAGCACACTGACAATTCTACCTATAAACACAGTCTGATGTACCTTTAAACGCGCTGTCCTAAATACCTTTAAGTCTAAACACATCAGACAGTGTACTTCTAAATACACCGTCCCATGTACCACTAAACCCACTGTCCTGATTATCTTTAAACACAGACTTAAAGGTTTCGTTTTTTTCTCTAAACTTGAGCAGATATTTAAACTCATACAGGGTAGATATAAACATTGTTTAATTTGCAGCTTTTCTAGTGAAACTAATAATTGTTGATTGATATTTCTAAACTTGCAATATTAGTTAAATAAAACAAGTAAAGATGGCAGTGATGTATTGATGCTGCAGACTGGCAGTGGTAGACCCCAGTGTGATCCTCAGTAACCACATCAGCAGTAAGCGTCTATAGGTCAAGGAACCTCAGCTCAGAGCTGATGGGCTGGAGTCTGAGCTGCAGACAATGCTACAATGCATGTCTACCAACAACATAGATAGGACTAAGAAAGGGATTCTATTAGGGGAATTATAGACGGTTTGGGATGCAAGTAAATAGCTGACCATAAAGGTAATCATCTCTGGATTACTACCTCAGTTATGAACCTTCCTGTTCTGAGGAAGGGGCACCGAACCTGAAACGTTTACTCTGTTTTTTTCTTCACAGATGCTGCCAAACCTGCTAAGCTTTTCCAGCAAATTTGTTTTTGTGTCAGTTGTGAGCGAATTGACACAGAGTAAATAACATAAGAATGTTAAATGTGTGTCTCAAATTAGTATGGGATAAATGAGTTTTTATTTATGGGCCACTGGCATCAGAACTGGAGAGAAAGAGAGCTGTACTACCAGGGCAGCCTTCACTTGAACCCTGCAGAGATGAGTATCCTGATAAATTGTATAATTAAGGCGTTAGAAAGGGCTTTGAACTGAATAATAGGGTGGGGGAAGAGTTACTAAGAGGGGAATAACCTAGGGGGGTTGGGGGGGAAGAATCATGAGAGGAGATATTTGAAAAATTATTGCAAAAGAAGAAAGCCTAGTGCCGGGCAGCAATACAAGAAATGACCACCAGAAGTGTGACAGGAAGGGACAGAGTGCACCAGCAAATAGGGTCATAGGGGAAAGAAAGGTATAAAAGACAGAATTAAAAGCTCGTTACCTGATTACATGCAGATAAGACGGATTAATTGATGGTACAAATTGAAATAAATAGATGTGATATGGCTATAATGGAGATATGGTTGCAAGGTGTACACTGCTAGGACCTGAATATTTCAAAGGTGGGAAGAAATGAAAAAGAAATAAGGTGGCTCTGCTAGTGAAGAATGAAATCAGCGCAATTGTGTGAAATGATCTTGGTTCGTTTGTATCAAATCAAAATGTAGAGTCACTTGGGTGGAGATAAAAAACTAAAGAAAGAAGTCACTGGTCGGTGTAGTTTATAGGCCTTCAATAGTAGCTACACTATAGGATACAGTACAAAAGAAGACTTAACAGGAGCTTATAAGAAAGATTTTGTAATCAACATTACAGATATTAATTTTCATAAAGATTGGACAAATCAAATTGACAAAGGGAACCTGGAGGTTGAGCTCATGGAATATATTCAAGATGCTTTTATAGAATGTTCAGGGACTAGTGATGTCAAATGAGACTGGATTAATTAATATCCTCATAGTAAAGGAATCTCTCTGCAGGGATCACTTAGTAGGATTTTAATAAAGGAAATTATAAACTACAAAAACAGAGCTGCCTGTAGTGGACTAGGAAAAAAATTTAAAGGGCAAGATGGGTGATAAGCAGTGACAGACATTTAAGGACTATATTTTATTACAATCAATGAAGACATAGCCAACTGAGAAAAAAAGACTCTATGAAAAGGTTGCATTATCAGTCGCTAACTAAGAAAGTTAAGGATGACATCAAATGGAAAGAAGAGCTGCACAATGATGCAAAGATTAGTGACAGGCCAGAAGATTGGGAAAATCTTATAAACAAGCAAAGGCTGATTTACAAAAAAAGACAAAGATATTAGAATATGAGGGTAAACTAACAAGAAATATAAAAGCAGATTGTAAAAGTTTCTACAAATATATAAAAAGGAAGACCGTAGCTATAAGTGGGTATTGGTTCCTTAGAGGAAGAGACTGGGGAGTTAACAATAGGAATCAAGAAAATGGCAAAGGCTTTGAGCAAGTATTTTGTACCCATTTTCAGAACAGAAAGCACAAAAAAGACTCCAAGAATACCAAGAACCCAAGAGGCAAAAGGGAGAGAGGAAATTAAAATAGTCATGATCACTTGAGACAAAGTACTGGGAAAGCTATTGGACTAAAGGCTGACAAACACTCTAGTCCTGATGACCTGCATCCTAGAACCTTAAAGGACATGGCTACGGAAATTGTAGATGCATTGGTTGTAATCTTCCAAAATTCCTGAGGTCCTGGAAAGAGGATTAGAAAATCACAAATGTTACAGTACTGTTCAAGAAAGCAGGGAGACAGAAAACAAGAAACTATAGCCTAACGTCTGTCATACAGAAATATTAGTATGCATTATCAATGAGGAAATAGCAGGTCATTTAGAAATTATTTTTTATTCATTTGTGGGATGTGGGCATTGTTGGATGGACAGCATTTATTGCCTGTCCCTAGTTGCTTTTGAGAAGCGGGTGGTGAGCTGCCTTCTTGAACTGCTGCAGTTCAACTGCTGTGGGTTGACCCACAATGCCCTTAGGGTTAGAATTCCAGGATTTTGACCCAGCGACAGTGAAGGAATGGTAATATATTTCCAAGTCAGGATTGTGAGTGGCTTGGAGGGAACTTGAAGGTGGTGGTGATCCCATATATCTGCTGTCCTTGTCCTTCTAGATGGAAATGGTTGTGGGTTTGGAAGGTGCTTTCGAAGGATCTTTAGTGAATTTCTGCAGTGCCTCTTGTGGATGGTACAAACTGCTGCTACTGAGTGTAGTTGGAGGGAGTGGATGCTTGTAGATGTGATCCCAATCAAGTGGGCTGCTTTGTCCTGGGTGGTGTCAAGCTTCTTGAGTGTTGTTGGAACTGCACTCATCCAGCCAAGTGGGGAATATTCCATCACACTCCTGACATGTGCCGTGTAGATGGTGGACAGGCTTTGGAGAGTAAGGAGGTGAGTTATTCGCTGCAGTATTCCTAGCTTTTGAATTGTTGTTGTAGCCATTGTGTTTATGTGGCGAGTCCTGTTCAGTTTCTGCTTGATGATAGCCTCCAGGATATTGACAGTGGAGAATTCAGTGATGGGTGGCACGGTGGCTCAGTGGTTAGCACTGCTGCCTCACAGCACCAGGGACTGTCTGTGTGGAGTTTGCACATTCTCCCTGTGTCTGCAAGGGTTTCCTCCGGGTGCTCCGGTTTCCTCCCACAGTCCAAAGATGTGCAGGCTAGTTGGACTGGCCATGCTAAATTGCCCATAGTGTTCAGGGATGTATAGATTAGATGGGTTATAGGGAGATGGGTCTGGGTTGGATGCTCTGAGGATTTGTGTGGACTTGTTGGGTCAAAGGGCCTGTTTCCACACTGTATGGATTCTATCTATGAATGATACTATAGTGTCCTGTTTATGTCTAAACAATTGTCCTGTACCTCTGCCAGTAAAATATCACTGCATTGAATTGATTGGAAAGAAGCATTATTGAAAACAGAACAGTAACTAGAATTAATTGTGAAATAAGATACAAGCAATTTGCTTTGATGTCAGATTTTTGGTTGTTGCTCATTCTCTAACCAAAGAGCTCCTGTACCTTGCCTAGGAACTTCAGAGTGTGCTGTATACCCTGCTCTCTACATTAAGGGCTAGATTCTACATAATGCTTCTCTACTGAAAGAGCAAGAACAGGCCTTGGACCTACTGGGTTCACTTCCTGGATAACCCAAGCTATGTTGGACATCTTGAGTGAAGCTTGGGATACCGGGTGGGCCTGGCAGTCCCGTCTCTCCTGGGAATCCCCTTGGACCTGGGGGTCCTCGAGGTCCCATCGCACCTGAAACGAAAAACAAATTTAAAAGTGGCTTGAACTGCAACAGAAAGTGAAGCAGAGATCAACATGTTCCCCTCTCACTGCTGGTGCTGATTCCTGCATTGCCAACTAATGCGGACCATTGTCTGATTGTGCAGCATTGATAATAAGAGATTAAGTGAAGAGATTCACTTTACACTCTTGCACCAAATCACATTATAGATATATAGTAACACAGCATCAAAATGCCAGGAAGGAAAATAAAGGCTAAACTTTCTCATTGACAAAATCTGTGAAATGGCTTTTCAAAGTCTTTAAAACTATGAAGAGATTTGCTAGGACAGACATAGAAGAAATGTTATAAAAGCAAAATACTGCAGATGCTGGAAATCTGAAATAAAAATAGAAAATGGTGGAGAAACTCAGCAATTCTGGCAGTATCTGTGGATAGAGAAACAGAATTAACATTCTGAATCCAGGGATCCTTGAAACTGAAGCTCTGAAGAAGCGTTATGCCGGACTTGAAACCTTATCTGTTTCTCTCTCCGTAGATGCTGCCAGACCTGCTGGGTATCTCCAGCATTCTCTGCTCTCATTATAGATAAAATGTTTCCTCTTATCTGGGAAGCCAGCAGTATCAGTCATCAATATAAAATAGTCAGTCATAGATCAAACAGATACTCAGGAGAAGCATCTTTCCCCAGAGAGTGGGGAGAATGTGGGAGGGAGTTGCTGAGATTCAATTCATTAATGTGGAAGCCAGATAAAGATATAGAGGAGAGAGAAATGTAAGGTGGGGAAAATACTGAGCAGAAATATCAACATGGAATTGTTTTCGAATTATGCTGAAGCCTGTGTAACAGAGACCCAGTATCATGTCAGGTTCTACAACAGGGATCCAATAATAGTCTTGGAGTCTTCCATCAAATATCCAGTGAGGTTACTACAAATATCTTCCACCCTACATTGATGTCTTGTGTCTCATACTCAATCTGGACTGTATTTCAGGCAAGAACTGTAAAAATGCACCACTCTGCTTCTGCAACAGCTTTTACCAATGGTTTACCGCAATGCTGGTTGCTCACCATTCATCTCTTGTTTCTTGGATTTGGTGAGCAGTTGCACACGCTTCCTGCTGCTCATCCTCAGCATTTATCTGAGCTGGGTATCGACACAGATTCCCACTGGGTTGCTTTCACTGGTGGCTGGGTGCTTTCACAGCCAACAAGACCTAGAGTAGGATTTGAGCACAGTGTATTCTGGCTCAGAGATAGCACAGGCATCCATTGATCCACTCTAGCCCCCCCATCCTTCATTCCTGCTCAATCGATATAAAAACTTCAAAATTGATCCATTTCATGTCAGGTGTAAATCTTAAGTTTAAAGGAAAGATATGAAAAAATAAAAGTAAACTAACAATTTATAAATTCTAGAGGCACATCACCAAATCTCTTCTGTTAAACCATCTGAACCACATTTAATAAGACCAAAGAATGCCATTTCTTTGTTACTGGTTTCATCAGATCTCTCATCGATCCCAGCATTTCATCAAGACCAATTAATGTCCAAGTGAACCAGAAACTGGTGAAAGAAAGACACATTAAATGTTTCCAACACATCAGCAGCAGAATATTACCATTGCAGATCACCACAGAAAACAAATTGTCTCAATTTACTCTGAGCTATACCACAATAAGAACATAATCGAAATATTACTGTTTTGAGACACACTGAGAGAGAAAAGTCAGATAAGTAGGGAAAATGCTAGAATCTTTTGTTAGAGACACAGAATAGTTTGGCAGAGCCAACATAGTACTATGAAATGGAAATCATGCCTAACAAATCTATTTTAAAGGTGTAACCAGCAGGGTACAGAAATCTTCCTGAGCACAGATGTCTCATTGGTTCGTAGGCATGGTGAAGGCTAAAGAGCTAGGGAGAAGCAAGATGCAGAGATAGTAGGAACTGCCGATGCTGGAGTCTGATATAACAAGGTGTAGAGCTGGATGAACACAGCAGGCCAAGGGTCCAGATGCTGCCTGGCCTGCTGTGTTCATCCAGCTCTACACCTTGTTATTTTCGAAGCAAGATGCATACAGGATTTAAAAACAGGATGAAAATGTCACCTGCTACCTGACAGAGAGCCAGTGTAGGTGCAGAGGTAGGGGGGAAGGGGTGACCAAGACATGCTGCATGTTATGATGATGGCTCATGCTTATGTCTGGTGGCAGATTGGAGCAGCTAGGAAAGTGTTAAAATAGCTGTGTCTAGAGTTGACGAAGACATGAATAAGGGTGTCAGCAGTGGATGAGCTGAGAGAGCGGAGGCAGCAATTTTATAGTGGAGGATATGGGTGGCCTTAGGAATGGTGCTCTCTAAGAAGTTGAGCTTCATAGAATCACACGGTTCAGAAGAGGTCCTTTGGCCCATTGAGTCTGTACTGCCAAAAATACACCACTACTTACAGCTGTCCTACTTTCCCACACTAGGCACATAGTCTTGGATCTTATGGCACTTCAAGTGATCATTCAAGTACTTTTTAAAGTTTGTGAGGCTTCCTGCTTCAATTACCCTTCCAGGCAGCACATTCCAGATCCCCACCATCCTCTGGATGAAAACCTTTTTCCTCAAATCCCCTCTGAACCTCCTGCCTTTCACTTTAAAATTATACCCCCTTGTTATTGAGCCTTCAAATAAAGGGAACAGATGCTTTCTATCCTCTCTGCCTGTTCCCATTGTTATCTTACATAACTCTATCAGCTCCCCTTCAGCCTACTCTGCTCTAAAGAAAACAACCTGAGCTTATCCAGCCTCCCCTCATAGCTGAAGTGCTCCATCCCCTAACACCTCGTTTCCCTCCAGTGCAATCACATTCTTCCTATAGCGTGTGACCAGAACTGCACAAAGTACTCCAGCTGTGGCCTGTACAGCTCCAAACTCCTTGCTTTTGTAATCTATGGCATGACTGATAAAGGTAAGTGTCCTGTATGCCTTCCTAACTACCCTATTAAACTGTCCAGTCACATTCAGGGATCTATGTACAAACATCCCAAGATCCTTCTGTTCGTCTGAGCTTACTAGTTTCCTGCCATCCATTGAGTACTCCCTATTCTTGTTACTTCTTCCAAAGTGCATCACCTCACAACGATCAGGGTTAAATTCCATCTGCCACGGATCTGCTCATCTGACCAATTGTTTATATCCTTCTGTAACCCTAACACCTTCCTCCTCACTGTCAACCATCTGGTCAATCTTTGTGTCATCCACAAACTTTCTTACCATCCCTCCCACATTCTCATTTACATTGTTTATGAATATCACAAACAATAAGGGACCCAGCACTGATCCACCAGTCTCCAGTCCCACAAACAGCCTTTTACCACCACCCTCTGTCTCCTGTCACTAGGCTAATTTTGGATCCATCTTACCAAGTTACCTTGGATCCCATGAGCTTTGACCTTCTTCATTAATCTCCCATTTGGGACTTTGTTGAAGGTTTTGCTGAAATCCATATAAACTACATATAAATATAAATATTAACTACATTCCCCTCATCTAAATACTTGGTCACCTCTGCAAAAATTCCACCTGATTTGTTCAGCATGACCTCCCTCTGACAAAGCCATGCTGACAATCCCTGATCAAACTTTGCCTCTCTAAATGGGAATTAATTTTCTCCTTCTGAATTTTCTTCAATCATTTCCCTCCCACTGATGTGAGACTCACTGGTCTATAGTTCCCTGGTCTATCTCTATCACCCTTCTTCCACATTACTTGCCCTCCAGTCCTCTAGCACCTCCACTGTGGCCAGAGAGGAATTAAATATTTAGGTTGGGCCCCTTGTATTTTCCTGCCTTTGTCTCCCACAGCAGTCTGGGATACAACTCATCCAGACTTGGGGATTTCTCTACTTTTAAATCCACCAAACCTCCTCATTCCCTATTTCAATTGCTCCAGAACTTCACAGTCCATATTCTCAAATTGTTTGCTTCCATCCTCTTCCTTCTCCTGAGTAAAGACTCTACCAATGTCTTCCAGCTTCATGCACAGGTTGCCCCTTTGGTCCCTAATAGGTCCTCTGTTTATACTTCTAGAACATCTTGGCATTCTCTCCAATCTTCCCTGCCAACATTCTCTCATGCAACCTCTTTGCTCTCCTCATTGCCTTCATGAGGCCTTTCCTTTCACTTCCTATGTTCCTCTAAGGCCTCCATTGTTTTGCTCCCTTTTGTACCTGTTATGCCATGTGGCCCAAAGGCTATGGCTTCTGTCTTAGCAAAAATTCCATGTATTTGAGTCAATAACTCTCCGAAGAAAGGCAATTAAGAATAAGTAAAAATCTGTCTGCCTCAGCCTTGAATATACTTACTGACCCAATGTTACAAGATGTGCCTAGAGTTATTTAGGATATATGGTCAGCATGGACAAGTTGGACCGAAGGGTCTGTTTCTGTGCTGTATGACTCTATGACTCTACATGCCTCTAAGAAAGATTTGTTCTGTCATGTTTCTTTTGAAAGCAAGTGTTGTAAACTTGGAGCCAAGCTGTCTGTTCTGTGCCTAGCAATGCAGCTAGCTTTGTTTCTCTTTAAAATGTTGGAATAATAGAAGCAGCATAGAAGGATGGGGTCAAGCTCCTACAGAACCTGGATTTTAGTTAAACTTTCAGTAACTGTTGGTGTTTGGAAGCTGCTGTACATCTCTCCCTGCTACAGCAAAATGCTTGAGTTATTTCTCTCTCTTAGAATTTTCATTTAATGTTCTTTCCACTTGTATTAGAGAAATGTTGCCTGTGAGGCAATCTGTTTTACTGAATTTGCCTCTGCCAAGGGTTTGTTTATGGCATATTAATATCTTGGAACAGCTAACTAGTCATAGTTAACATGTATACATTATCTTGTTAAGTATTTCGATATTTCGTTATGCCAATTTTTCTTTCTTATTTTGTCTGTATTTTAACTATAGTGCAAGAATAAAGTATGTTTTGCTTTAAGCCTGGTAGTATGACCAATCAAATTGCATCCGGAACACAACACCTTACACTTGCCTTTAAAAGGTTTACGCTATCTTCTTAATATATTTTGAGGGGCTTTGGTCTGGTCCATAACACCAGCCTCAACAGCCCTCTATGGTAAAGAATTCTACAGATTCACTCCCCTCTGAGAGAAGAAATTCCTCCTCATCTCTGTTTTAAACGGGTGACCCGTTACTCTGAAATGATGTCCTCTGGTCCTAGGACCCTCCCCCAGGATTAGATTCCCACTCAGTGGAAACTTCTGCAGCCTAAGAGACACAATGTGTAGGTTTAAAGATTCAGAGCAGGCATGGAAACCCATCCTTCCCTTCTTCCCACCTGAAACTCCAAGCTTTAGCTCAACTAATCCATGCCATCTCTAACTGGACTGGTGCTGCTATGAAAACACCACCCATTCCTGGAACCAGTTAGAGAGTGCAGAGACTAATACCCCAATCCTAGCAAACTGGAACATAGCACAGTATTGTGAGTGGAACTGATGTGGGATGTGTTTCATCAATGGTCATTTCAGAGCTGTAAGTGTTGACTGAGGACCATCCTGTGCTGGCTGACTGTTACTATGAGTTTATGCCAAAGTTCTATGCTTACAGAATGTATATACCTGTTCGTCCAGGTGTCCCTGCCTCACCCACTTCCCCCATCTTCCCAGGGGGACCAACAGGTCCAGGAAGGCCAGGTAGTCCCTGGGAACCTGAAATAGAAAAACCACAATGTTTCACTGAGGAACGCTGAACACAGTTAAACTATGGAATTAAACAACACTCACCATCTAATTCAACTTCTACTCTACCCGATCAAGCTGGTCCAATTGGACCACTTCGATCCCATCTCTTTCAGAACAGTGCCGGAATTCATTATTAAAGACACAATGACACTTGACCACCTGATCAACACGGATTTATGAAAGGGAATTATGTTCATTCATCTATGGGATTTGGGCCTCACCGGCATTTGTTGTCTGTCCCTAGTTGCCCCTAAACTGAATGATTCATTCAGCCATTTCAGATGGCAGTTAAGTTCAATCACATTGCTGTGGAGTCATATATTGGCCTGACCAGGTAAAGACAGCAGCTTCCTTCCCTGAAAAGACTTTTACGACAACCGATGATAGTTTCATGTCCACTAGCATTGAAATTCAGTTTCCAACTCTGCTTTTTTTAAAAAAATGAATTAATAAGATGAATTTAAATTCCAGCAGCTGCCATAGTGAGTGTTGAACCCATGTCCCTGAGTATAAACCTGGGCTGCTAGATTAATACCCAGTGACATGACCACTGCACCAGTAACTCTCCACTAAGAGCATAGTTTGAGGATGTAATTCAAACAATCTAGCAGCATTAAGTAGATCTGGTATACTTAGATAGTCAAAAGTATTCGAAAAGTGCCACACAAAAGGTTTTGCATAAGATACAGGCCCTTAGGTTATATGGCCACGGAGAAGGGATTGATTAAAGCCAGAAAATGAAGGAGGAGTGAGCAGGTTGCTTTGGGGGTGGAGGCAGTTATTATTGGAGTGTTGAGGAATCCACCAATAACAATCTATATTAATAACTTTGAGGAAGTGTTTGTGTGTAATGGATCTAAGATTGCTGACCACAGAAAGTTAGATGGGAAGCTGTGAGGAGGACACAAAGGTTGCAAAGGAATATGGAGGGATTAAGTGAGTGGGCAACAAGGAGACAGATAGAGTATAATGTGGGGCAATGGGAGGTTGTTCACTTTTGTTATAAGAAAAAAAAGAGTAGATGATTTTTAAATGGTTTAGGTTACTAAATCCTGGCACTCAGGAGCAGGTGGCGTTTTTGAACACAAACCAAGGAAAGTTAACTTACATGTAAAGGCAGGTAAATGGTTTCCTATATCCCACTTAGGATGGAGTACACAGGAGGAAATAAATGGGGCATATAAGCAAAGGTTCTGCATGTAGCAAAGGTGGCTTTAATTTTAATGTAGATTGAACCAAGCAGAGTGGCAAAGGTATCCTGAAAAATGAGTTCATTCCACTAGGACCTTCTCCTACAACAGTTTTGTCAAGAACCTCTGGAGGCTGGCTATTTTAGGCCTGATAGCTAGGAGTTGGCTCAATGGGCCAAATGGCCTACCTTTGTTCTTATCTGTTATGGTCAGTAGGAACTGCAGGCATAGGAAGTACTAGCTCACAGTCTGGTGAGCCCCTCACTGTGACAGCCCTGCAGTAGGCCAAGGAAGAAACAGCCCAGGCAGTTAGCTATTGGAGGACTGCAAGAGACCAGGTACCTGCTGAATCTCAGGCAGGAGAGGACCCTGTGGGGTCAGCAGAGACTTGGTCCACATGCACAGGGAGGGACAGGAGCAGTAGACAGGAACAGGAATGTGGGATGAATGGTCCTCACTGCCCAGAGACTGTAGCAGTGCGATGAGTCATGTGACCATCCAGCAGCCTCCATGGATAGATTGGTGCTGCCATGGAGATCCAGGTCCAGTAGTGTCAGGGTCACACTCACCTGCAGTCCATCACCCCAGCCACTGGTCCTCAGGACCGAGGACATGGTGATAAGGAGGTGGGGGTGGAGGGGGGTGGAGTGGGGTGGGGAACCTTAAGGCTGCATAAGGATTGAGACTGATTAGGTGAGTGAGCAAATACTTGACAAATAGAATGCAATATGGGGAAATGTGAGATTATACACTTTGGTGGGAAGAATAGAGGAACACTACACTATTTAAATGGAGAAAGACTGCAGAAAGCTACAGGGCAGAGGGATTTGGGAGCCCCTGCACACTTCACAAAAAGCTAGTGTCCAGGTCCAGTGAGTAATAGGGAGGCAAATGGATTTTGGTCTTTAGTTCAAAGGAATGGAGGGTAAAAATAGGGAAGACTTGCTAAAACTATACAAGGCACTAGTCAGACCAGTGCTGGAATACTGTAAACAGTTTTGTTCCAGTTATCTAAAGGAACGATATACTGGCATTGGAGGCCATCCGGAGAAGGTTCACTAGACTGATATCAGGTATGGAAGGAGGGTTGAGTATTTTGGGGCTGTACTCACTGGAGTTTAGAAAAAGGAGAGGAGGCTTTATTGAAACATTCAAGATTATTAGGGGACTTGACAAGGTAGGTGTGCAGAGGTTGGTTCACCTTGTGGGGGGGGTCTAGGACCAGAAGGTATAATCTCAGAATAAGGGTTACACATTTAAGATGGAGATGGGGAGGAATTTCTTCTCTCAGAGGGTAACAAATCCGTGGAATTCTTTCCCACAGTGGGGTGTCCAGGTTAGATCATTAAGTACATTCTAGGCTAAGATAGACATGTTTTTAGTCAGTAAAATGAATTGTGGCCCCAACACTGACCCCTACAGAACTCCACTAGGCACCAGCTGCCATCCTGAAAAAAACCTTTTATCCCCATTCTCTGCCTTCTGCCAGTCAGTCAATCCTCTATCCATGCCAGTGCCCTGCCCTAACACCATAGACTCTTCGTATTTAGCAACCTCCTATGCAGCATCTTGTTAAAGGCCTTCTGGAAATCCAAATAGATCACATCCCCGGCTCTCCTTTTCTAACCTAGTCATTACCTCCTCAAAGAATTCATCATAGAATCTGTACAGTGTGGAAACAGGCCATTTGGCCTATCACGTCCACACCAACCCTCTAAAGAGCATCCCCCCCCAGACCCCCCCCCTACCCCATCCCTGAATTTCCCACCCTAGACACTATGGGCAATTTAGTATGGCCAATCCACCTAACCTGCACATCTTTGGACTGTGGGAGGAAACTGGAGCACCCAGAGGAAACTCACGCAGAAACGGGGAGAATGTGCAAATTCCACAGAGACTGTTGCCTGGGGCTGGAATTGAACCCAGGTCCCTGGCGCTGTGAGGCAGCAGCGCTAACCCCTGAGCTACCATGGCACTATAACAGATTTGTCAGGCATGATCTCTCCATGACAAAGCCAGGCTGATTCAGCCTTATTTTACCATGTACTTCCATGTACTCTGCAATCTCATCCTTAAGAATGGGCTCTAAAATCTTACAAAATACTGAGGTCAGGCTAACCGGTCTACAGGTTCCTGACTTCTGCCTCCCTCACTCCCAAATTAAACAGGTGTGTTACATTAGCCACTCCAGTCCTCTGGGATCCTCCCTGACTCCAGTGATTCCTGAAAGATCACCAACAATGCCTGTACAATCTCCTCAGCAATCTTCTTCAGAATTCTGGGGTGTACTGCATCTGGTCCAGGCGATTTATCCACCTTCAGACCTTTCAACTTCCCCAGCACTTTATCCTCAGTGATGGCCACTACATTTACCTCTGCCCCCCTGACTCATTTGAAGTTCTGCTATGCTGCTGGTTAGGGTTAGGTGAAAACTGATGCAGATGGAAATTAACCTTGATAAGTGAGAGTTGATGCACTTTGGAAGAAGTAACAAGGGAGTACTCAATGATTGGCAGGAAACTAGGAAGCTCAGAGGAACAGAAGGATCCTGGAATGCTTGTCTACAGATCCCTGAAGGTAGCAGGACAGGTTAATAGGGTAGTTAAGAAGGCATATGGGATGCTTGCCTTTATCAGTCATGCCATAGTTTATAAAAGCAGGGTGGTCATGTTGGAACTGTACAGAACTCGGTCAAGCCACAGGTGAAGTATTGTGTGTAGTTCTGGTCACCATACTATAGGAAGGATGTGATTGCACAGGAGGGGGTGCAGAGGAGGATATTGCCTTGGGTTAAGCATTACAGCTATGAAGTGAGTCTGGATAAATTTGGGTTGTTTTCTTTGGAGCAAGTGATTTGAGGTGGGACCTCATGGAGGTATAAGATTGAGAGGGGCATGATCAGAGTGAATATAAAGTTCCCTTAGTCAAAGGGTCAATAACAAGGGGACATAATCTTCCAGTGAAAGTCAGGAGGTTTAGAAAGGATTTGAAGAAAAAAGCTTTCCCCCAAGACAGTGATGGGGGAATGCACCGCCTGGGAGGGTAGTTGAGACCTCAGAAGCTTTAAAAGTACTTGGCTGAAACCTTGAAATGTCATAACATTTAAGGCTATGTGCCTAGTGTGGGAAAGTGGGGCTGGTGTAGGTAGTGGTGGTGCTAGAGACTCGATGGTTGTATGTCCAGTTTGTTCACTTTTTGTTTCCGGATCAGCCAGGACTCTCTGATTGTCCTGCCAGGTCTGTCGTACGAGTGTCCCGGTAAGTGGGCAACTTCAGCTGAATAAATTCAAGCTCCCAGCACTGGGAACTCCTAGCAATGAGACCTACATCAGAATGCTCACCAGGTGGTCCTCGCTCTCCTGGCTCTCCTTTTTGTCCAGGTGCTCCTGTTGAACAAAGATACCAGAGAGTTCAATGAGATGTTATGCTCCTGACCTGATGATGAGTTCCTATAATTACTGGAGCTGGGCAGCTCACTGCTGCAGGCTTCACATTCTCTGAAATTACAGTGAGGCCTACGAGCATTGGTTCAAAACTATAACCATCAGCAACCATAACACTGTCTCACAGAACTCGAATAAACAGCACACCAACTAAAGACCATTTTAAACCTCTCCAACAGGATGGAGCTAGGAATTAGAATCGCAGGATCAGACTCACAGTGAGGGGGTTGGGGTACAGATTGAACCACGCAACTTGCTACCACACCCCAGGATCACAGTGTGTGTGGCCAGCCCTAACCACGCTGCAGAGATCAACAGACAGCTCAATACCCCGAGCTATAGGCGCTACATAGAGGCAGCCTGCACCTCTTTCAAGCGAAGGTCAGAAGAGAGACTTGGCATTCCACGGCAAATGAAATACTTCTTGAAGTGTAGCCACTGTTGCAATGCAGAAAATGTGACAGTTAATTTATACAGAGCAAGATCCCATAAATAATACCGCAGTAGTGACCTGATCACCTGTTTTCATGGTGTTCTTTCAGTTATCATAGAATCCCTACAGTGCAGAAAGAGGCCATACAGTCCATCAATTCTGCACTGACTCTCCGAAGAGCATCCCACCCTATCCCCATAACCCTACATCTCCCATGTCTAATGCGCCTAGCCTGCACATCCCCGGACACAATAGGGCAATCTAGCATGGTCAATCCATCCACCCTCCACATCTTTGGACTGTGGGAGGAAACCGGAGCACCTGGAGGAAATGCACGCAGGCACGAGAGAACCTGCAGACTCCACACAGACAGTGTCCCAAGGTGGAATTGAACACGTGCCCCAGGCACTGTGAGGCAAATAATAATGTAACAATATCAAATACAATCCTTTCTACACTTCTTTAAAATGGTGCCATACGGATCTACAGTATAGAACCCCGACAGTGTGGAACCCATTTGGCCCATTGAGTCCACAAAGAGCATTCCGCCTAGACCCACCCCTCTAGCCTATTCCTTAACCCTACATTTCCCATGGCTAATCCACCTAACCTGCCCATTCCTGGACACTATGGACAATTTAGCATGGCCAATGCACCTAACACGCACATCTTTGGACCACGGGAAGAAACTGCAGCACCTGGGGGAAACCCACGCAGACACTGGAGAACATGCAAACTTCTCACAGAGCCAGGGACCTGAGCCTGGAATTGAACCCGGGTCCCTGGCGCTGTGAGGCAGCAGTGCTAACCACTGTGCCACCATGCTGACTGCACAGCCACTTGAAAGGGCAGACATGGCTTTTGTTTAATATGTCATCCAAAAGAGAGCACCACTGCAGTTCACAATCACTCAACCCCGAATTATATTCATGACCCCTCACCTCTGATTCCAATTCATAACTCCTCGCCCCCAATTCCAGTTCATGACTACTCACCTCTGATCCATGATCACAATCACCCACCTCAGATTCTTTTTCCTTAGATCATTGTTTACTGATCACTGACCCTTCTGTCACTGTAAACAGTTTATTCTTAACTCATTGACTGCATTCAAGAGGCGGCTAGATAGAGCACTTGGGGCGAATGGGATCAAAGGTTATGGGGAGAAAGCAGGATTAGGCTCGAGTTGGAAGATCAGCCATGATTGTGAAGAATGGCGGAGCAGGCTTGAAGGGCTGAATGGCCTCCTCCTGCTCCTATCTTCTATGATTCTATGTTTCTATTTCAAGGTGATTGAAAAACTCTATGGAACATCTTCTTAACTTCTTTGTTCCAAGAAAAACAGCAGCTTCCTCACACTCTCTCCATCTAGTTGAGTAAATCTCCTCTGCATCTCATCCATCATTTTGGCATGTTTCTTAAAGCATGGTGCCTTGTACCTTACACGATTCTCCAGCTGAAGCCAAACTACAGTTAGGTTGTAGACTTGCTCGCCGAGCCGGTGTGTTTGATCGCAGATGTTTTGTCACCCTGCTAGGCAACATTGTCAGTGTGCAATCAAATACACTGGCTCGGCAAGCAAGTCTACAACCTTATCCACAACCTGAGCTACAAATCTTTTGAAAAAAAAACTTCACACTACAGTTAGTTAAAGATTTAGTATAGCTTACTTGTTGCTGCTTTAAAAACAGTTTTCTCAGCTGCACTGGAATAGTTTCAATGTAAAGAAGTTTGGCTAGATGGAAGGAGTTTGGACTGTTCTCCTTTGGAGAACAGAAGATTGAAAGGAAATTTGACAGAGGTTTTCAAAATCATGGCACAGAAACAAGCTGTTCCCATTTGTGGAAGAACCAAGGATATAGATTGAAGGTTAAACTAAACAAAAAACAAAGAACTGTGAATGCTGGAAATCAGAAACAAAAGCAGAAATTGCTGGGAAAACTGGCAGGTCTGGTAGCATCTGCAAGAGAGAAACAGTTAACGTTCCGAGTTGACATTCATTCTGAAAAAGGGTTGAAATGTTAACTCTGCTTTCTCTCCACACACATGCTACCAGACCTGCTGAGTTTCTCCAGCAATTTCTCTTTTTGTTCATAGATTTAAAGTAACTGTCAAAAGAAACAAACTGTACATCAGGACAACTCATTTCTTCAAGCAGGGAGTGGTCAGGATCTAACCCTAACCATAATCAGATTACTCCCTTAGAATCATACTGAACTGAAATTGCAGCCCATCATTCTCATGTTAGCATCTATATTTTATCTTTCCCCCTAAAGCAAAGTGATCAATCACGCTTGAGATGATAGTGTGGTGATGGTGGCACTGACCTCTCAGACCTGGTGGTCCCCTTTGTATGAACATGTGGTTCTCCCATGGCATAGCAGCATCAGATGTCTCATTGGCTGCAGATGGCACTCCAACAGTATCTGTAAGACGCAGCTCTAACATCTGGAACAATAGCACTGCTGAAGTTATTATTTATCATCTAACGACTGATTCTTTAAAGCCTGATCCTTCTCAATAATAACGTCCTGTTAGAAGCAAAGACGCCTTCGAACCGATCGTAAAATTAGCTAGAGCCTAACCTGTCCAATCTTTCCTTATAACCCATCCATTCCAAGTATTTGTCTGCTAAAACCTTTCTGAACTACCTCCAAGACTCTGATGGGAAAATATTGGAAATGCTGCTGTTTGGGAAATTGAAACCTTATGTGGAGGATTGGTCCCGGCATGCTGAAAGAATGAGATACTTTTTCAGGCAAACAGGATAGAAGGGGATCACTGATAAAACATCATTATCCTGATCACTTGTGGGGACCTCATAAAGAGTTTAACTTATCTGGTGGCCCAGGAGTTAAAATCTTTTGACTAACTGATAGAGATGGTAGTGGACCCCAAACCATCTGTTATGGGTTTAACATGGCAAATAGACTTCCTATGGAACAAGTTATTGAATTTTTGACAATGTTGTGGAAATTGGTGGACCACAGAATACGAGTCAACATTTTAGGAAATGTTAAGAGATCGCTTTGTTTGTGGAATTAACCTGGCTTTGTGGAGGAATGTGAGCAGCAACAAGGTAAGCTTAAGAGATAGCAGGAACTGCCGATGCTGGAGTCAGAGATAACACAGTGTGGAGCTGGAGGAACACAGCAGGCCAGGCAGCATCAGAGGAACAGGGAAGCTGACGTTACAGGTCGGGACCCTTCTTCAGAATGAGGTTAAGACATTTTTCTCTCCTGAAGACTACTAGTTATTAAAGGGGCAGAGATGACAGTCAGTGGAGTGGAATGCTCCTCCGGTCAGATGTGAGAGATTATGGAACAGTTCGGTGTCCCTGGTGACTATATCGACAGGAAGTGTGTCTGTCTGCAGCTCCTCTAGACCACATGGATTAGTTGGAGTAGCAGTTGGACACACTAAGGAGCATACAGGGGTCAGAGAATGTAGTAGTTTCAGGGAGATGTTCACACTGCAGCTTCAGACAGGTAGATGGGTGACTACCAGGAGAGGCAGGCAGGTAGAGCAGGAGTCTCCTGTGGCTATCCCCCTCTCAAACAAGGAAACCATTTTGGATACTGTTTGATTTTTGATTGATTTTATTGTCACATGTACTGAAATAGCGTGAAAAGTTTTGTTTACAAACAGTACAGGTAGATCACAGCTAGCAAAGGATGTACAGATCAAAAAGACTTACAGGCATACACAGGTTAGATTCAAAAACAAAGTTGCTGGAAAAGCTCAGCAGGTCTGGC